TGTATTTAATGGACCGAAATAACATTTGCGATTCTTTGCTGAAACGAAATGAAATCGAACCATTTCGGAAACGAATGGTAACAGGAGATGAAAAGTGGATCAAATACGACAATAGTGTGTGAAAAAGATCATGGTGCAAGCGTGGTGAAGCTCAACAAATGGTCGCAAAGCCTGGACTGGTCGAACGATTGGTTCTACATTTTACTCTCAACAACTGAATAGATTGAAGTAAACATTTGAAAAAAGAAAACAAAGAAAAAGTTTAGAACTGATCAACAGAAATTAATTCGTCTTCCATCATGGACCACACATATGCTTGATGACTCGGCAAAAGCTGGGAGAGCTTGGCTCAGAAGTTTTGGTACATCCACCATATATGTAGCCCTGACCTTGCATCATCAGTCTACCATTTGTTTCGCTCCATGGAGAACTCTCTTAATGGAATATAGTGAAATGTGTGAAATTTACTTTTCGCAGTTGTTCACCGACAAACCAGACAAATTTTACACTGATGGCAAAAAGTATTCCACCAAAATTGTACATATTTGGTTCAATAAGAAGTACGAAAATACGGTGCAACCGTAGTAAACGTTTTTTGTTCTTTTCGATACCTCTTTTCATCTTATAGGTTTTGAAAATTATAAGTTTACCATTTACAGTTGCATTCCTCAATTGAAAATTTAAATATGAATTAGTACTATGTATAACTATTTCTGAAAAATATTTGGAGACTGTACTGTCAACTTAATTTAACCAGAACATATCCAGCTGTTAGCCCGGTCAGCAGGTTTTGTGCAATTAATATTAAATGTTTTCTACCGCTGATAATGGGAGGTGGGCCTACACTTGTTTTATATGGTAGTTAAACGTCACTTACAAATTTGTAACCGCTGCACCTAATTTCAGTACCATGTCTCAATTGTTTGCAGAAATTTGTGTAATAATATTTCATCATATAATATTTAAAATATTATTTTTTGCGTTAATTGAAAATTATCATTTTTGGAACTACCTAAAATGCATAATATTAGAACTCCTCTTCTCCGTACACTTCCTCTTCGAATTCAGGAAAAAAATCATATTTTTCTTAGGGTATTGATATGCTTCTCCGCACCCAAACGACTATAGAAAATGGGCATAGGTTCATACACATCTTTTCCCTCGCTTCTTATCTTCAACACTTTTTTATGCTTCTAAACGGAACATATGTTTTTGACGTTATCAAACCATAAAAGTGTTCTCCATTTAATGAATTTTGATAAAGCTTTTCGTTTATTTGCTAACTTATATTCTAAGCTACACTTTTATTTGCTTTATTTTTATATTATATTTGAAAATATTGAGAAAAATATTTTTCTCAAATGTTGTGAGCCTCTTTAGCTCAGTGGCAGAGCACTGGTCTTGTAAACCAGGGGTCGTGAGTTCAATCCTCACAGGAGGCATGGATAGAAGTAACTTCCTGTACTTTTTTATTCGAATAGCTTTCTACCCATGTTATATATATGTATATGTATGTGTATATTAATACGGCACAAAATATTGACAACGTGTGCCATTTTAACAGTATGCGATTCTTTTCAATATTACTTATGGACTCTTTATTATGATTCTTAACCGCCTAGTAATGCTAAACCCTTTGCCAAATAATAGTCTCATTAACGAGATTTTAAATTTATTATTCTAAAGTCAAAATGCGCGTAATTAATCTAAATGTTTGCAACCCTCTTACCATTATTGTCGCCTTTATATTGTTGTATAGCAGAAGGGTTGCTAAGTCCTCAGTACAATGGAGGAGCGTGTTTTGCAGAAATCGCGAAAAATATTAAAATGCGTGCGGTAATAATAAGCATAAATCAAAGTGTCTGCATATGAGACGTGTTTAGAGGGATAGGGTGCTAGGTAGGTGACTCATATCGAATGGTGTATGTACTGGCATCACATATATTTATATAACAAAAAATTTTAAAAATTCATTGTTTAAATTTCCTTTTCTAAAAATTAGAAGTAGTGTCAGTTAATAATCAAACGCTGTCCGTTGTTAGTCCAACTGACTTAGTTGGGAATTATATTTTTAGAATAGCACATCGTTCAGCTGTACAAATATTATTCTACATTTTTTAAATTATTTCTTTTTTAGTATATGTAACTCTTCAACTATTCATTTCTCATAATTTCCACAATTAAAGAAAAACTTGCGTTGTGTATAAAATAAGCAGTCCATAAAATTACTCCCGTATTTATGTGTGCCTCCTGTGAGGATTGAACTCACGACCCCTGGTTTACAAGACCAGTGCTCTGCCACTGAGCTAAAGAGGCGCTTGGGGTCAATAGCGCCAAATTACCAACGCGACATATGGACAAGAATATAGTACATGTTAGTGTGTGTGTGTGGGTGTTGGCGCCAAAAATTATGTTACCGGTGCCTAAAATAGATATTTCGCCAGAGTCGGAAGAAGTTTAAGTTTAAATATTTTGATAGCTTCTAGTTGTTGTTATTAGTTGGTTAAAGTCGAATATGAGTCACGGTGTTTCGTTTACCGAAAATGAACACCAACTTATAATTATATAGGTATGTTCTAAGAGCTTAATATGATGTCTGTGATTAAAAAAGTAGTGCTTCCGAGTCCAAGTTTACTTTAAATAGTAAGGACCGTTTTTTCATTAGCTAGTTAGCAGCCATCTATAAGTTAAGTACTGGTTAACTTAACTAAGACACCTTCTTTTGGTAAAGAACCCTTTTTTCTACAAAATTAACTGTGGGATGACTGCTATTCAGACATTGAGAATATTGAAATGTACATTAACAAAATTCAATTTTTAACATTTTCATCGCTTTCAGAATATTTAAAAAAAATATTTAAAATAGCTAATGTTTTTCAAAAATCATTATTCTATCTGAGCGAAAATAAAAATCCCCTTTTGACCGCTTTTAAGTGTGTTTGCAACACTTTTTAGCGGACAGACTACTTTTCGAAGATTGCAACCTTTCGTTCTCTGCTGCCAAGTTGTATACGCTAGATGTCGCCCATGCAATATGTTTACCAAAATTGCCCAATAGTGGGCGCCAGTATTTATTGAAATGTTGCTTTTTATTGAGATGATCAGATTAGCCCACGAATTTTTGTCTCCGTAGTTACAGGTATAACCTCATAGTAATATTTACAAAACACATTTGTGTGTTCAGATTACAACAATTTTCWGTATTATCTTCTAAACTTATGAAGAGTAAAAGTTTGATCTTAGTTGGATAGATTATACGGCAAGCTAGTTACAATTAAGGCGATCTTTAATCTTTTTTAAAATTTTTTATTTTTTTTGCATTCCTCAAACTTTAAAAGCGTTTCTCTCAAAACACACCTTTTCAAACTGGTGGAAATGATTCCGGTCGAACTACTCAACCGATTTGCCAAATTTTTTTTTTAATGTTCACCAAACACTCCTGCTGGTCTCATAATTTTTTTATAATTTATTGACAAAATTTATGTAAAAAAACATGGGGGAAAAAAAAAAAGTTAATTACCTTTTTATTTATCAACATTTTTTCATGATTCAATTAGGGACGATAACCATTCACGTACTTTTTAAGAATAAATTGGGTTTTTGGGTTTCAGATGATCCAAGCATGAGAAATCGTGTTCGCCAGTGTAAAAACGCATCTCATTCGCCCAGCCATTTTTTCGACAGATGTCATCAAAAAATTCTGAAAAAGTTTGCTTATACGCTCCACGATATACTACCTCATGAAATAAGTAGACATGGCTGTAAAGCTTTCTCCAGTCAAAGTAACTTTACGTTCGTCTCAATTTTTGAAGAAATATAGGCAATGACACCCTCTGTTCATAAAGCACGCCAAACAGTGAACAATGACTTTTTGAGGACTTACCGATTGAAGAACGTTAGGCTCTAATTCTTGCACAAGTTGAATTTTGTAAGCTTTCAAAGAAAGATCTTTCCTCAACACCTTCATAAAGTGGATGGGCACAGTTTCAATTGTTGTGTGCGATAGCGAATGGTCTCATTCAGGTCTTTTTCGATACTCTGTTCCACCGCAGCAACAGCGACTTCGTCTGAGAAAGCGTATTATAATCGTGGTGTGAAACGGTCTAATTTTGCTTGAATTCTCAACTCTGCTGAGCGATTATGTCGCCCCAATATGGGAATCATACATCTCCCTGGGCCCGATGATTTGTACAATTTGTAAACGTGTTTCCAGAGAATGTCTGTTCATTATGAAATGGAAGACCAAATTGCGTATAAATCTGTCAAAAAGACCAACACTGAAAAAAGGATTGCCGCATTGAGAACCAAACGTCACAAAAAAAAAAAAAAAAAAAAAAAAAAAAAAAAAAAAAAAAAAAAAAAAAAAAAAAAACACAAAAAAAAAAAAAAAAAAAAAAAAAAAATCCGTTATTTTATATAGTGCAAGCTTTAATCTATTTGACAAGAGGTCCGACTATACTTAGATAATTTTCTTAGTTTTTATTAAAATTTTAATACAAGATCACCACGAAATATCGTTCGCTATGCCGGCCGCATTTGTCTTTCAAACCGCCTTGAAAGAGACGATACGAAGAAAACAAACTAGAGATACACATGTAATTCTTACCATTTTCGCTCTACACTCTTAAGACTTTTATTCTGTTACTACTTACCGTATCTTGTTTTCGTGGCTATTTTTGTTTGTAAACAAAATAATTTTACTATTCTTTTTGAAGCTATGGCTAGTAAGAGAGTACAACACTTTCTCTGAGCATGGATGTCTTTCTCTTCAATTCGAAATAAAGCTCTTAAGAAATCTAAAAATATATTTCATCTACAGATACTGAAACACCACGTTACGGGCAGATTTTCCACATTTTCAGTTTGGCTGCAGTTTTGTGAAAGAAAAGTTCTACTATTTATATTGGAAAGATTGAAAATATATTCCATAATATATTTATATACAAATTGCTAAACATTTCTATCAAAAGTCAGCAAATCTAATAGTATCTTCAGTAAAAATGACTTTGATTGATAGAACCGGCTTTTTCCCCGACTACTATCTTAACCTGAAAAACTCGCAGTCGGACGTTTTTGATGTGCAGATTGGTAAGATAACTGCATGTCGCAACGATTACGAGCGGCTGACATTTGTCGAACAATTTCCCGGTATACGTGAACACGACGGACAACTGCAAGTGAAAAGGGAGTTCGTTGGTAAAAATGCTGACACTGCAGCGCAACTCAAGGAGAAGGGAAATCAGGCGTTCAAAGCAAAAAATTGGTTCGAAGCGATGCTTTTCTATACAAAAAGTTATATGGCCTTGCCAGAGGACAAAGGTGAGTATCACGCAAAAGTCGTTTAACGACTTTTTTTTGCTAAAACTGAACTCTTTTTTAGTGAATGAACGTGCCATCATTTTGGCTAATCGCTCTGCCACCCTCTTTCACATGGAGAAATATGATGAGACCCTGATTGATGTTCAGCGCTCCATCGATTTGGGTTATCCAAAGGATCTCATATACAAGCTGTACGAACGTCAGGCGCGTTGCTATATGGTAAAGAAAGCCTACCCCAATACCATAGCTTCCTTCAAGTAAGATGTCTTCACTTCAAAGAAATATTGTTGTCAAATATTTTTAAGTTTTTTAATTGTAGAAAATGCATCACTGCTTTGGATGATGCCAAAGTGCCTTCGGATCGACGCAGCAAATTGAGCTTGGATGCCATGACCATGATAAAAATGCTGGAAAGAGATCCGCTGACGGCTAAACAGGCGGCGAGGCAGCAAAAATTCGGTGAAGCTAAATTAACAATGGCGATACCCGATGAAAAGGAGTTTCTCAGCGATAATGTACGTTTCGATCAGAATCCGTCAGAGGGTCGCTTTGCGCGTGCCGCCACTGATATTACTGTGGGCGAGGAGATATTGGTGGAAAAACCATTTGTGGCGGTGCTGTTGGAGAAATTCTCCAAAACACATTGCGATAACTGTTTTATTAGGTAAATTTGTTTCGAATTTTTTTGTTTCAATCTTAAATATAAAGTGTTTTAACGTTTGTGTTTCCTTCATTCAGAACTGCTATACCTGTGGCCTGTCCAAAGTGCGCCGATGTGCTCTACTGCTCCGAGGAATGTTTATCCAAAGCCAGTTCTACATATCATAAATACGAATGTGGTATTTTGCCTACAATTTGGCGTTCCGGCGCTTCAGTTAATTGTCGTATGGTTTTGCGCATTGTTGCCAATAAGCCTTTGGAATATTACTTAAAAATTAAACCTGATATCGAAAAGGATTTACCCCTCGAGGAAATTTTGAAGTAAGTACTGCATGATTTTTTTTATATACTGCCGTCCATACTTAAAGACTTTACCGCAAATAATTTTAGGTTATTAAAAATTACTTTAACTAGAATCCTACCCTTATATGCGACTATCGAATGGACAGGCAATTGAATTTAGCTTATGCAAAGGAACTTTGGATCTAACCGGTATTGGAATGACAGACATACATATACTTTAGATGCTTATTGCCAAAAAATGTTTCACCTTTCCTCTCGAGATTATTTTGTCGTATACCCAGAACCTTGGCTTAAAAAACTGTCATCCAAATGCAAATAGTAGTAAAAACTTGATAATGAAGCCATAAATATAGTTTTATAGCCATATATATATATATATAGGTTCTAAGATTCGTTCACTTATCTCTAGAAAAACCTTTATCCAGAACAGTAATTCTTAATATCAATATTGTCCGAGCAGAAAGATCTACTTAAAAGTATTTCTTATTATATTTGAAGATATTGAAAGTTTCCTGTAATTAAATCGCCATTTTGATATCTTTAGTCGAATTCCGATTATACTATTAATAATTACTTTATATATCACAGACTACCTTCCGATGACTACAGACGCGTTTCACATCTAGAACGTCACGAAAAATCGAGACCAGCCTCCAATTTGTTCCAGCATACACTTATGGCACGTTTTCTAACCAAGTGCCTCGCAGAGGCTGATTACTTTGGTGCAACACCTAAACCCGAAGATCTGATCACTGTAGGCGGCATAATATTGCGCAGTTTGCAATTCATACAATTCAACACACACGAAGTGGCCGAATTGCATGCAAAGCAGGCCGATGGCAATGAGAAAACGGTCTTCATTGGCGGTGGACTCTATCCGACTTTGGCGCTCTTCAATCACTCCTGTGACCCCGGTGTGGTGAGGTGTGTATTATGTATACCAAATTTATAAAAAATTGATTTTATATTTTTATTGTACCACAGATACTATCGTGGTACTACCATACATGTGAACACTATACGTCCCATTGAGGCGGGTATGCAAATCGCCGAAAACTATGGTCCCATTTATACGCAGGAAGGGCGTGAAAAACGTCAGGCACAGCTCAAAGAGCTGTACTGGTTCGATTGCACTTGTGATCCCTGTCTGGAGAATTGGCCCACCTTCGAACGCATGCCGACCGATATCATACGCTTTCGCTGTGATGGGCCCAAAACGTGTAGGGCTATAATTGAGGTGCCGGCAACGTGCAATGATTTCATGATTAAATGCGTGACTTGCGGCGAGAGCACCAACATTTTAAAGGGTCTCAAAGTGATGCAGGTGTGCATGCATAAAGTTTTTGTTTCGCTTTTTAATTTTATTGATTGCTATTATTTCATTTCATTGACTATATTGTTTCATTATATTATAATTTATTGTTTTTTTAGGATACCGAATTGATGACACGCACCGCCAAGCGTCTCTACGAAGCCGGCGACTACTCAAAGTCACTGAATAAATTCATTGACTTACTAAAGATCATGTACGAGGTGTTGGCACCGCCCTTCCCCGATTTTTGCCTGTGTCAACAGCATGCAAAGGACTGCTTCCTGCACTTGGGTAATTTCTATAATCTCAATTAAAGCGTAGTTATGTATACTCATGTAGGTAATTGTTGTTGTGCCATTGTCATTAGTAATGAAATTYGAGTTGGTTGCGCGGCAATTTGTAATTGTGCAATCATTGACATTCAATATTTATTAAAGTTTTATTTTCAGCTATAAATCGTTTACAATTTTTATTTACAAACTGACGAACAAATACAGGCATACATAATATTAACTAATGGAAAAAATTACACAACGTTGCATATAAAGTAGAAAAAAATTTTTATAAAATAATTTACAGAAATATACACAAAAGCCATATGCCCGCTACTTAAATATGTTCCACGTGCTTACTATTTTGCTTCAATTTTCACTGTACAATGTACAGTCACCACTACAATTGCAGAGCGTACATTTCTATATATATGTATGTGTGTATATATTATATGAACGGGTCCATGCATCTGTCCTTTAGTAGTACAGCCAATAATTGCTGTATGCATTCGTATTTTTGAACTTTTGTTGTTGCGTTTGTGTGCAGTAATAGCGATTGACTTCGTTGCAACCGGCGTAGCTGACATCGGTGTAGAGGCAACAACGATAGCAATGCTCATGCGTTACATATTGCCAATCTGTGGAGTGAGATCAAGGGAATAATATTAATAATAATAAGTAAGGAAGTGCTAAGTTCGTGTGTAACCGAACATTTTATGCGCCTACTTTTTTAAAGAAAAAACACAGAAATTTCAAATTTAATGGGGAATGTTTCTTATCATTCGAAAAACCATTCTTTGGCATTAATTTTTTGAAGATTATCTCTTTCAAATATTGGCCGTGGCTACGTTTCAGATGATCCATCTGTTGAGTGCAATTATCGTTGACTCGTTCGAGCATTTCGACTGGTAACGGGCGAATAACAAGCGTGTTGTTTTTCTTCAAGCTCTGAATAGGAGCGATAATGTCCACATACATACATATACTTTAGACTTTACATATCCCCACAGGATAAATAAGTGTTCTCTCAATAAATCCATTGATTGATACGAGAAGTGGCTGATACCAAATGTCGTTGATATCGCGAGCTTTAATTTCAGGCATCAAATAGTAGCTTATCACGGCTATGGCGATTTCGTTCTCATCGGCACCATTGTTATAGAAATATGAACCGATGATTTCAGCGGCCTACAAACCACATCAAACTGTTATTTCTCGATGAAATATCAGTTCTTGAATATCTTCAGTTTTCTATTCGCCTCAGATGCGGCAATTTTGTTGTTTACATACCCTTTGAGAATGGAATTGGCCTTTTCGCTGAATAAAATTTGGCTTGAAAATGTCGACTTTTCTTATACTTTTAATACGCGTAACAAATTTCATCGAGATATCTGATTTTTTACTCATGTTATCGCTTCAAAGGATAGATTTACAGACTTTCAGACAGACGTGGGGATTTCAACTGGCTTCGTCTTTTTATCTATTGTATATCGACTAGATTTCGTTGTTACAAACAACCGTTAGGTGAACAAAACTATAATGCTTTACAGCAACATGTTGCAAGAGTATAAAAATGCCTTTGTATTAGACTCTACTGAGTCATTGTCAGGGCTAGCAATCGATTTAATGATACAATTAATGTTTTGAAAGTAATATGAGTTGTAAAATAATTTAAACGGAATGGAGCACTTTTCAAAAATCGACTAGCATATTATGGGAGAAGCGCAAATGCGTGATTAATTTTCTCTAATAGACTGGATATAGCATGCTGTTAAGTATATTTTAAGTACACATGACAGCTCTAAGCTTTTTTGCATGTTACAATATGTGATACATATAAACATCTGAGGGGTAACAGATTGTGTTTAGCATAGCAGGGACACATAAAGTAATTAAATATTTATAGCAATAATATGGCGGAATGTTCAAACATATTTCCATTTAATTTTGCTACATTCTGTTATGTATGTATGTTAATTAACATTTATACCAACTCTGTATTTAAAATCCTCTGATTTTCACAATTTTAGTTTCGAATTAAAAAATGCCCTACAATCTCTCGCAAAGTGTTCGTTTTGTCCATATATTATTATTGGTGATAAGCACCAGCGCGATGAATACAAATGGTAGCATTTCAGTAGAAAGTATGTATGTATGTAATAAATGTTGTTGACGTATATTTCAAGTTTTATGACTTCATAAGAAATTCAATGAATTCATGGGAAATTTGTATAATATTTGTTTACTGACCTTACTTGACCAAAATGTACATAAAAAATCGTTTATTTTTCGCTTGGTCTCCTGAAAAATAGGTTCTCAGATACCCCTAAGCAATCCTCTACAAGTACTATATGAGCTCTTAATTGAAATTGGGTGCACCGGCTTAAAGTTTTATACTATTTACTTATTATCAGATAGAAAAATTCATATGTCGCTTTCTTAGGTTTTATAGGAAATTTACTGTTCCACAAAAATAGTTCCTCAGTTTTTTTTAAAGCATTTAGCTCTTCTATTTGACATTTAGCGCACAACCAACTATTTGTTATACTTACAAAAAACCTTGTAAAAGAACTGTTAGTATGGCTGCTATATGCTAAAGTGGGCCGTAATAGGCGATCCTTAGAGATAAGCTCGTGGAGAAAGAGCCGTGTGCAAAATTTTAAATGGGTATTTCACAAACTGTAAGACTATTTCGCATTAATACCGGCTGTGTTCGGAAAATAACTGACATTTAAAATTTTTTTATTTTATTGATTTTTGAAAATTTTTAATTTTATTGATATGCTATTGTGTGCAAAAAATAGTAAGACTCCTTAATTCAAAATTTACACGAAAACCCATTGGTCGAGTTTTTTTCTATCCATTTAATTTTGTGTGCGGAATCAAATTTCTGGTGTCGAAACGTTCAGAATGTTAGAAAATGCCCCCCTGAATGATAATTGTTTATCGTGAGCAAGGGTTTTTGATTGCTACAAATTATTCAAAGAGGCTCGAGAACGCATTGACGACGAACTACATCAAGGACGGCCGTCAACTGAACATTTACTTGTCAATAAAATGAAGGAATTGGTGCTTAAAATTGACGATTAATAGTCAGAGATCTTACTGGTATCGTTGGAATATCGGAAGGATCAGTGCAACCATGACGACTATCAGGATGTCAGGAAACGCATTATCACTAACGATTAATTATCACTAAGCATGTATCTATGCTTAGGATAAATTTTCAAATTCGACTGAAATTCGGTCTGATTTATTTCCGTGTGACTTCTGACTATCCAGCAAACCCAAAGGACCGTTCCGGGAAAACAGTTTAGAATCAATTGAAGACATTAATATTGAATCGTTATGCGCATTGAAGGCTATTCTGGAAATTGACGTTAACACCTGTTTCGAGGATTGGAAAAAACGTTGGCACAAGTGTATTGGGATCAAAGGAGGCTACTTTGAGGGGGACGACAAAGTTTAAATTAATTAAAGAGTTTTAAAATTATGAACAAAGTCTTACTATTTTTTGCTCATGGTAGTGAGCGGAATGAACAATAAAATTTTCAGATATTTATTGCTTACTCTGTCTGTAGCAACTGTTAAGATCAGGTCTGTTTTTATTTTCGTTTGTTAACAGCTTACACTTCGTTGCTTGCTCGTGATCTATCTGCCGAAAACAATAACACCCCAACCTCCACATTCGGCAGGCATAGCTCAAAAAAAAAAAAAAAAAAAAAAAAAAAAAAAAAAAAAAAAAAAAAAAAAAAAAAAAAAAAAAAAAAAAAAAAAAAAAAAAATCGATTTAGAGAAGTATTTCGAGGGTTGGAAGGAGCACTAGCATAAGTGCTTAAAATCGAATGGTGACTATTTTAAAGGACGAATGAATAAATTGTTTTTTCAAAAAATGAAAATTCACGTTTTAAAACACGTCGCACGAACAGACAGATATGCGAAAATCGACTCAGCTCGTCCCGCTGATCATTTATATATTTTCTTTAACAAACTTTTTGGCAAACATATTGTATTCCCATCAGGTATTTTGGTAATTGGTACGAAACTAGGCCTTTTCAGCCTAGTTACTTTTTAGTAAAATGTAGTTCTCACATAGTATTATGCTCACTGGTTTGATGATTCGTCTTAAGATATCTAATAATATGTACGCACACAAGCACAAACTTAGATACACACTTCATGTTGCGACTAAATCGTGTCTGAGAAAATTTTGAAAATTTAAATGCTAAGAATAATTTCCATATTTGACTTTTCATCCTCATATGTACTCACTCATATGGTATGGGATTTTCGCATGCATATTTCAACACATACTCGTACAAATAAAAAAAAACCAAAAACAATACAAGAACAGTTGGTGGAATTGGGGGTTTGCTACTTACAGCCACATTTCCATTGCAGATGCGGTGAACTGCGTTGCGAGCGGTAATAGCAGCGACTTTGTGGATAGCTGGGCTTTGGTGGTTGAGTGGGTGGTGTGTAAGGATTCCATGGTTTGACTGGACGATACGGAGGATAGCCTGTTTGTCTGGTTGTGATTACTGGTGTTACGGTGGTGGTTGTTGTTGGAATAAATGTGAAAGGTTTAGGAGTTGTTGGAATAAATATAAAAGGTTTAGCAGTTGTTGTTGTGGTGGTGGTTGTTGTTGTGTGGTCGATATTCGTTGCAGGCGTTGTTATTGGTTCTTCTTTTGGCGTGGTTGCTGCTGTTGTTGTGGGCGTTATGGTCTCCTCTGTTATAACAACGGTTGTGGCGGGAAGGCTCTCAGTTGTTATGGGAGGCGTTGTGAATGTGGGGGTTTCTTTTGTTGTTGTTATTGTTGTAGTTGTTGGTGGATCTGTAATGGATTCACTCGTACTTGTTGTTGTGGGTGGCTCAGTGTCCGCTTTCAACGTAGTTGTTTCTTTTATCTCTGGCTTCGGCTCCGGTTCCAGCTCCAGTTCCGGCTCCGGCTCCGGCTCCGACTCCCAATCTAGGTCCACATCCGGCTCCAAGGGAGCTGGTTCGAAATCTTGCGTCAAGGCGAAATTCAAAAGCAAAGCACCACACAATATAAACAACACTCTCGCCTAGTGGAGTAAATTTGCATATTTAGCTGACTTTAATGAAAAATATTAAAAAAATTTTTTTTTTTACAATTACCATTTCACTGTTTTTTTTTTGCTCACACGCTGTTAAAAATTTTTAAGTTCGCTTTTTTTTTCAAATAAAATACCGCCACTAGCTGTTTGAGGCGTCTTCTCGCCAACAGAACTTCTTTCCAACTGGATTGCACGATTAGTGTCATCAAATTGTATTCCCTCTGAAATATTGGCTTAAGCTCAGCGTCGCGTCGCGCCGCCTGGCAGAATTATCGCGCACATGTGAACGACGAAATATGATCGTTTTCAGTCAGTCACACACTTCATACAAGTTCGCTTGTTGTTTTTGTTGTTTTTATTGTTGCTGCATTGTTGTATAACCGCCAGCATTTTAGTGCAAATTCCTTCGTCATGAAGTTGATAACTCGCGGTTAAATTAATTAAACGCCTTGACATATCGGCAACGTATATTTTTCGGGCTTAAATCCATCGGCTGCTACAACAAACACATACGCAAAATATTCACCTACATATTTACATGTTATGTTTGGTTGTAGCGTGGTGCGCGTATTTATTGCATAAACTACATTTGAACACCTTTGGCTTGTAAACAATGCTGGCGGAGTTCGGCACCTCAGCTTCTGTGGAGCTGCAACCGCTTGCTGCTCTTCACCTCGAAATGCGATAGGCGTTTGCGGGCAACCGATATTGCCCCCTGACGTTCGATGTTCGCTGTATCGAAGCAAAATCGGTGAGTAATTAGCTCAGTTGCATGTCTGTTTAGCCGGCTAAACTGTTGATAATCCAATGTTTATGCTTATACACACACACACACACATGCATATATTTATAGTTAGTGACAAGTGTGGCAAAACAATACAAATTAAAATAAATAAACTTTGTTTATCTAAAAGTATATATGTAAGTAGTAGTAAGTATACATATGTACATACATATGTATGTGCTAACATATTTTCAGCTAACGTGCAGTTTGGTGCCATTCGGCGTAAGTTTTGCACTTCTCATTGGAAAACACTAACTTAGAATCATATTTAAGAGCTTTGCAAAAATTTAGTCTAAGTGTGTACAAATACTATACATACATACATATGTATGTATTTATGTGTAAGTATATATGAGAAGTGCTTTAAAACGGACTTGACTTTTAATGTTTTTCAAATACATTGAAAAGCCCGTGCTAAGTCGGTTGCAACCGAACATTTTATACTTTTGCAACTCGGAAGGATCAATATATCCTTCTGTGTAAGACTTTATAATTTAAATTTCGCACGAAAACCCATTGGTCGAAATATGTTTTTCTATGTTGGTGTGACTGTCATTTGTGCCAAATGTCACATCAAAATCATCACTCGTGTTTAGTATATGCTTGTGTTCCTGAGGTGTACCGAGAGTGCCTTCAGCCATTTTTACTATAACTGAATTTATTCAACAAAGAAGTTCCATTAAGTTTTGTGTCAGGAATCAAATGTCGGGAATGAAAATTCAAAATGTTGGAAAAGTCATTCGTTGATAATTGCTTGTCGCGCGCAAGTGTTTTTGATGTGAACAAATTATTCAAAGAGGGCCGAGAACACGTTGGCGACGAATCACGTCCCGGTCGGCCATCAACATCAACAGATGATCAACATGCCAATAAAATAAGGAATTGGTGCTTGAAATTTTACGATTAAAAAATCTCAACGGCTTTGTTGGAATATCGGACTGTTCAGTGAGAGTCATTTTGATAAATCATTTGGACTATGCTTTCCAACTATCAGAATGTCTTGGAACGTATTGTCTCTGGCGATGAGGATTAGATCTATAATTACGACTGGAAAATTGAGCATTAATCGGCAAAATAGTGTGGCTAAAGTGAGTCGAAAAAACCACGTCAAAGCAGGTCAAAAATCAACGATTGGCAGTTTTCTTCTATTATCGAGTGCGGCACACTCTTTGATTTTTTTTCCCACCGGCAAACTATCAATAGGGTTATGTATCGTTTGCGTGAAGCTATTCGTAAGAAGAGACCGGAATTATGGACCAAAAACTCTTGGGTTTTGCTTCACGATAATGCAACGTCGCATACTGCTCTGATTCTTCTTGTACTTTTTACATGCAGTCATACTATTATTATGGAAGGTTTCCTTCCGAATCTACATATACAATATATCTCACATATTGAACTGTGGCATAAGCACATATTTATTTGATGCCTGTGTTCTTAAAAAGATCCGAATTCGACAGTTTTTTGGCCCTTAGTCGTCCTCAGTTGTCATTCTTACAAACAAATGATGCATTTGACATCTACATATAACACTTATATAACCTAAACTGTTGCGTTTTGGAAACAAAATTCCCACATAGACATCTTTAGTCCAAATCTTACTAAAAATTTAAAAGTAAAGTAAAAAGGAAATGCCTATTTCATCTGCTGCTAATTTAATCTTGATTCGACAGCCCGTCAACATTCTTTATTAGGAGTACTATCAAATTTTCAGCGGTTGCTGACTCACTGTGGTATTCCGAATAAGGTTTGCTATTCAGAGCTTTCTGGTTTTCTTACAAGTAAAAAATCTTGTAATACTCACAAATAAATTTTTTTCTTGCAATGAATTGATCATAAGCAATGTTTTTATCAACATTTTGAGGCCCTTTTTTATATAAAATTCTATGAACAAACTTCGACAAGTTACTTGTAAATTTTTTGGCATATGTCGGAAAAACGAAGAATTAGGGACATCATTCAAGAAACTTACTACTTTTTTCGGTTATTTCAATCCAGTTTTATATGCATAGTTTTTTTACAAAGTGAGTCAAATGTCTTGAACAACATATGCCGGCATATTTATTTATATATCCAAATATTTTGGATGACAGTCGATTGGACTTTGGTGTAAAGTAATGGAGCCATGTCTGATCCATTGTCACATATTAATGCGAAAAAGGCGGATTTGTTACGCGTGAACATCTCCAATCAATCATTAACTCGTAGTTGTTTTTTTATTTTTTTTTTAAATTTTTTTTTTGTTTTGCACCCACTTTGCATAGAGCTTTCTCATACCCAAATATTCGTAAATGATATGATGTTCACGTCCAGTTGGTATCTTTGGATTGTCTGATATCTCGAACAACTGCACTTTGTGGTCAGCCAAAATATTTTGTGAATTTTCAGCTGCTTTCGTCGGTAACAACCTCTTTAGAGCGTCCACTGCGTCCATTGTCTTCGGTGTTGATTTCACCACTTCTAAACTTAGTATTCAAATCTTTGATGGATGGTTTTTCTAGGACAGTGTTCGGAAACTACTCGTCAAGCCAAGCTATATTTTTTTTCATCAAAAAGCTATATTTTATCAGCACTCGAAATTAATATTCATCAATTTTTTTCACACTAACAAGAGTTGTTTAAATCTAAATGACATAAATCTCAAACTAATGATCCGACAGTTGTTTGAAGATTATGGCTAACCAAAAATTTTATGGATTTAATTCTAGTATGTGTCTATATGTCAGGCCAGGGACTTCTCAATTGACCTGTTACACGTGATTATTGTGTTTCCTAAAGCATTGTTTTCACGGGAAATTGATAAGCCAGTGACCTTGGCACTGGAAGCACACATACAGATGCAGACAAACACTTCGAATGAATTTGAATGAGTGAATAATTGCTTCGGCAAGCAATAAAGTAGGGTGCTCATATTGCAAATATACTTACATTGTATATGTGCCATCTTTTTACAGGGCGCTACATACATTTATTTCATTTATTGTAATTTCGATGATATGAAGCGCAATGCTCGCGTCAAGAGCGCCTATTAATAACTTGACGTTACAGTAAATAAAAATTTTGTTCTTTTTTTTTGTTTGTTTTATTTGTCATATCAACTTATTATGATTTGTATAAAATTCTGGAAAATTGCCTTAGTCAGAGTCTGCTTTCGTTCTGGGCGTTTAAGAAAACAAAGCGACAGACACACACCCGCATATGTATAACGTTATACCTATTTACGTACATTCGTAAGTCGCAAGTGAGAGTATTTACATACTGACTAATTTGATATACATACTTCAGATTATACATTTCATATAATATATATAATATATATACAAATATTGAAGTTTACACATCTGCATTCGAAATTGTTGGCTTGAAAGTGAGAGCAAATTGATTAAGACATACATATGTATGTATATATATGTATTTAAGTAGATATACCTACACACATATATGCATATTTTGTATTAAATACCACATACATCCATAATTTATTTCAAACAATGACTAAGCGTATACTTTAATCCCTATGAGTACTCACTACTCCCTTTGTTTCAGGCAGATTTTAAATATAAATAAACTTTTTTTTTTTATTTATAAGCACTTTTAAAAAATGATAAGTATTTTGACTATTCAGCAGTAATAAATTGAGATGTTTACTCATATAAAACCCCTCGAGTTTATTCTAGTCTTATCGTCATTCGAAAGCGCGTTTAAAACCTAGCAGGTATTTCACTTATTACGAAGTTAGCTGTTGTCGAAATCTTAAATGTAATGAGTTGAAGTTGAAGACTTTTAATTCCTAAAGCTGGAGGATTATTATTATTATAGTAATTATTATTATATTTGTATTAATTATTATTATTATTGTATTAACTTTTTCGAAAATTTCAAAATGTTCATCAGTGGATTAGGTTTATTGTTTAACTTTTTCTTCTTTACACCGCAAGCGTCATTACATAATTTTAGGGACATGTCCACGGAGAGAGAGTAGAATTTTCATCCATGTATAATGAATGTTTGGGACTTGTGCTCATATAAATAAGACACGCCACTCATAGAACTAAAGTTTATTCAAAGCACTTTTTTTCGTACATAAATGAATTACATTTTACAAAAAAATTTAAGAAATTTAAATTCAGTTCAAAACAGAGTACATATTTATACTCTTGCAACATGTTGCTACAGAGTCTAATAGGTTTGTTCACCTAACAGTTGCATGTATCACCTAAAACTAATCGAATTAGATAAAGGGTTATATACTACCGTGAGCTAAAAATATTAAGGCTCATTTGCTCATAATTTGAAAGTTCTTAATTTATTCTTTAAAACCTACTCTTAAGAATAGTAAAAAAAAAAAAATTATATTCCTTGTTGACAGTTTGGTCTTAAGGAGTTCGGAGTGCACCAAACCTCGATAATCGAAAACTATCCACATGCCATAACCTTGATTTTTGAACTACTTTGACGTGGTTCTTCCGTCCTTGGCTACCTTTGCCACGACATTTGGCCGCTTGGTCGTCTGTTTCCGGGTCATAAGCAAGATCCAAGACACATCGTCAGTAATAATTATGTTTCATGACATCCTGGTAGTCGGTAAGCGTTGTTTTACAGACCTTAACGCGACGCAGTTTTTCGAAAAAAATGAGTGGTTTTGGAACTAATCGTGCTTTTACTTTTCTTAAGATCAAATGATCTTTCAAAATGGTTTTCACTGATCCTTCCGGTATTCCAACGATGTCAGTAAGACCTCTGACTGTTAATCATCGCTTCTCAAGCAAAAGCTCCTTTATTTTGTTAACGGTTGATTATCAGTTGATGTGGATGACTGTTTTGGGCTTGGATCGTCGTCAACATGTTCTCGAGCCTCTTTCAATAATTTGTACCAATCAAATACGCAAATAATAAATATCAAACCAGCAAATAATTATCACCGAAGGCCTTTTTTAACATTTGGAACTTTTCGGCAACAGAAATTTTATTATGCACATAAAATTTTAGGGAACTTTTTTGTTGAATATTTTCGCTTATTATAAAAATCGCCGATTGCACTTTATGTACTTAAAAAAGGCTAGTGGATATTAATCATTAATAATTATTTTGATGTGACTTAGGGCACAGATGTCATATGAACCGAGAAAAAAAAATATTTAAACGAAATTTACGTTAAAAAGTCTTACTATTTGTTGCCGACAGTAGTAAATCCAATAAAATAAAAAGAAAAAATTGAAAAATCAATAAAATAAAAAAAATTTTCAATTACTGATATTTTCCGCACATATGTATGTATTTCGTATATATGTATATGCGAGCATGTTCAGCTTTAGAGATGTCGATATCTAAGGTTTTGTGTAAACGAAAACGAATGATCGGCCGAATTGTGCGCTAAGTGCCGAATAAAAGTACTAAATGCTTCAGAAAAGACGGAGAATCTGCCATTAACAACTAAGAGCTGATAGTTGGAGATAATTTCTTAGAGGTGTCTAAGAACCTAAACAAATATTATACACTTTTCCCATGAATTCAAGGAATTTCTTAAGAAGTCATAATATTTAAAATCCTTAGATTGTGTAGTTCAATACCAAAAACATTAATTAGAGACAAACTTGCTACTGAAATGCTGCCATTTTTGTTTACATATCTCCCTGTTGCTTATCTTCAATAAAAACATATGTACAAAACMAAATTTTTGGAAGTTTTATTTTGCGCATTTTGTGCGTTATCAATTTTACCATGGGAACCCCCCCAAATAGAGTCTTCTTGCCGATTTCATAATAATTAAAGATTTATAAATTTTGCAATTTTAAATTAAATTGTTTTACAAGTAAATATTTATCTAATGTAAGTATAAAATATATATTTATTGTTAGATAAAAAAATCATCACTAACCTATTGTTACAGCCCTAATGTATATATTAATAAATCCATACCCATTACCAATACAGCAAATATAACAACAAATCAACGAACTTATGGTGTTTACTGATAAAATGCAATAACTGGGTTTCGCTTTGCAAAATGTGTTTTGTTATTGCTGGCAAATATGCTAAACAAAAACAAAATGTTAACACAATGCTATGCAGCTGTACACAGGGTGTGCAAGAAAGTGTACTTTAGTCGAGACCAAAACCAAAATATTCATTGTGAATACACTGTTCATCAGCGACTTTGTTGTTGCACCACATTTTGCAGTGACGTCACGTACTTTGTTATAATTCTGCAAAACAAACCCCTGCTGGACGTCGCTGTTGGCCTGGTAAAATGCAAGTTTACTGACTTTTGAAATAAAAGATTTCGCCGAAGCCGGCCAGGTGAGTGATGTTGCTCGTGTGTGTGTGGGTGTGTGTAAGAGAAGCTGTGTTGTGCTATCATTGACGCAGGGGACGACAAATGGGGTAATTTATAAAACAACATTATAGTATAATAAAATTATAATAATCAAATTTTTGAATTTATAGTGGATAAATAAATCTATAAATTTCTTAATAAATAAAACATGTGTATTTTCTTATAAAAATGTGCAGTGTGTTAACCAGCGTAAGTATACATATATCATAATGTGTGTGTGTTCATATATGAATGCATGCATGTACCAATGGACATGTGAACTCAGTGTGTTCCTACCAACAATATATTATTTCGTGGCACAGGGTACACAATAAGAAACAATTTAGCATGGACACAACCCTATTGCTACGGCTATTGTGAATGCATGACAGCTAACGCCTAAATTCATGCTACACTTGTGAGAAATGTACTGATAAAATTTGTGCGCGAGACCTACTGCACGATTTTGGTTGCCTGGTAAAATGCAAGTTTACTGATTTAGAATTTCAACAATTTGCGCGAACCCGATTTACATGGCGGACACTAGGGGGTATGACGTGCAGGCATGCGAAAGGAAATGCGGGTGAATTTTGGAACTTTTGTATGAAATTCAAGTAAAACCGAAATGAAAATTAATAAAATGGTATAAAAACTAAAAATAATAAAATAAAATAATAATTAAAAATTATTTTTATTTACTTATTTTATAAAATATAAAACACGAATATTATACGAGTAAATTTTCGTACGAAATGAAGGGAGGAAGTAAAAATAAATAAAATAGCAAAAAAAAAAAAACATAAAAAATAAATTTTACGTACAAAATTATTTTTTACAGCGTTTTTAAAAATTACTTTTTATGGTTAACACTAAAGTAATATTTTCATTGCACGACGTGAATGGGAAATTGAAATTGAGGAAGAATTTTTGCATGAATTACAGAAAAGAAGATGTCAAAATGAATATAGTTATATTTAGAAATTATTTTTGTTAATTTTTTTTTATTAAAAATTATTTTTATTAACATTTTTTTTATTAAATCATTTCGCGTTTGAAATACGAGTAAATTTTCGAATTTTTGTACGAAATGCGAGTAGATGGCAATGAAAGCAAAAACAAATTGTAAGATAGATGTGTATAAGAGACAGGTCTGTAGCAACTGTTAAGATCAGGTCTGTTTTTATTTTCGTTTGTTAACAGCTTA